AGCTATTGAAGTGCGACCTGCACGTCAATAGCTTATTTGGAGTGTAAAGGCGACACTGGGGGTCTTTTAGACCCCCAGCATCAACTTAAAGAATACCTGTCACCGCCATCTGCTATCACATAGGGGGGCTTGTAAGCCCCCTTATGTGATAGCAATCAAAGTAAAGTTAAAAAAAGTTTTCAAATAAAAAAAAAAAAATTACATTCTTTTTAGATTTAAAGTCCCCTGCCCCGAGGAGTGAGAGCAATAATTATAGGGCCAGTATTTTTGGATATCTCTAAATTGATGATCTGTGGGGGCTTTTAAAGTGTCTATGGACTTTTTGGGGATACTGAAGTTTGTCGCAGTTTCACGGACGCACACAATTTTTAACCTGGGCATTTTCGGTGTAACCTCCTCATTTATATTTTATTAAACAAATGGGTATTTTATTGAGTTTTGGGGCATTTAAGTACATTTTTCACTAAATTTGGGGGTTTGATAAAGGAGTTGCGCCAATATCATGCAACATAAAAATTTGCAACTGCCACCATTTTATTCTATATGGTCTTGGCTTTCAGAAAATATATAATGTGTGGGGGTTTTAAGTAATTTTCAGGCCTATAATGTGGAATATAACATGACTACTTTTCATTTGTTTTATTAGAAAATTGCCATTAAACTAAATCGATGTCTGCTGGAAGCTGACATTATTTGACTTACAAGCTACATCAATGCCCAAGAAATATCATACAGCCAAAAAAAAATAAGACAATGGCTGCCACCATAAGAACGCTTAATGAGATTTGTTTTATTTCTATTATTAGAGCCCAACTACAGCCAAAACGGATTTGTTTCGTTTTGAATAGAGTAAAAGAACGTTGGAACCCCCGTCAGTTTATATTGTATCAGAGATTTCTCTTTGCTTCTTGTTCTGTCTGACCTCTCTCATAGTAAGTGAAGTGAAATCTCAGGACACAGACAGCAAGAAAATCCTGACAGAGGTCCTAAATCTTAGGGGAAATTCCTCTCAGTCCCTCCCCTAAAACCTGTTAAATCATCAAGGAGGAGAAGTTCACCAAATAAAAAAAAAAAAGACACAAAAAGTTGACAGTAGTTCTAACCCTTCCACACAACACTTGGCTATACCTCAGTGTATCAGTACTGCTTGGACCTAAAAATGTAAACGTTATGCAAATTTAACAAGATTCATGGGCAGTACTCAACAGTGTAAAAAGTGCTCCAATTTTATTACAGATATTTAAAATAGGGCTGGTAATGATTAAAAAAGTCCTGTTCGATTAATCAAAATTTTTTTTAATCGATTAATTTCGATTAATTATAACGCACATCCAACTACATACGATCCCAGGGAAAGGTTTAATGTGCTCGATTGAGCAGACTAAACCTTTCCGGTATAAAGTGTGTCTCTCCCGGGCGGCTGGGAGAGTTAGGATGTGTACTCACCGGCCCAAGCAGCTCCATCAGGTAACGAAGGGAAGGGGGAGGAGTCCAGTGACGTCACGGACATCGACATCACCGGACTCCTCCCCCCTTCCCTTCGTTAGCCGACAGAGCCACTTGTGAAAGGGGGAGGAGTCCGGTGATGTCTATGTCCGCGACGTCACCGGATCTCCGACGGAAGGCCCAGAAGCCGGCGGTGAGGTGAGTACGGATCCAAAGAACTTTGATCGATCAAAATAATTTTGAACAAAAAAATTAACGATTAAGCGAGAGATTAATCGTTAATTTCCGCAGCCCTAATTTAAAAGTACCGTCAATGTACACACGACTTTACATACTATTCATTCACATCAGTCTCAGTCTGCAAGGGCCAACTAAAGCCATACATACATACATAGATTATCTGCAGATTTTCTATGGTCAGATGGAAGATGTGCAACAGATTCCTCCATCTACACCAGGGGTTTCAAACCTCCGGCCCTCCAGCTGTGGTGAAACTACAAATCCCATGATGCATCTCTTCGGGAGTCATGTCTGTGGCTGTGAGAATCTTGCAATGCCTTATGGGATTCGTAGTTCCACCACAGCTGGAGGGCCGGAGGTTTGAGACCCCTGATCTGCACTAAACTGTGTGGATGGAGGAATCTCCCACTGGGCCAAGTTTCAGCATCTTGCTAGTCTGCCACGCTGGCTCTCAAAACACCTGAACGATCTGATTGGATGCAGGCATTGTTCAGGTGTTTTGAGAGCCAATGGGGCCTGACTAGCAAGACCTGATATTTCAAGGCCTGATTTTTTATTTAACTGAAAAGCACCATTAGTAATCATGATCATGTCGCCGCAAAAGTCTTAACAATGCACATTAAATATCTGTAAAGAAGTCAAGGCAACTGGACTTGATGTATTTTTCTTGAAGACGTTTCACTGGTCATCCAACCGGCTTTCTCAATTCAGAAATTGAGAAAGCCGGTTGGATGTCCAGTGAAACGTCTTCAAGAAAAATACAGCAAGTCCAGTTGCCTTGACTTCTTTACAGATATACCCATGACCTGGATGACCGAGAACCTTCACAGACAATGTACATTAAAGATTATGTTTAGAGCAGCTCGGCGTGTATTCGGCCAGACAACCGCTCCTGTGTGAATGGAGCCTTGACTTTGAGATGGCCTTCTTAGTTTCCAAACTAAAAATGTTCCTTTGTTCACCTCCCAATTTAGAAAGTGCATTAGTTAATCCCAGGGCTGGACAAATCCCAGGAGACAAGTACCAAATCCTCCCAAAAAAGGTTAGCTGGTGCCTAACTTTCCAGGTTTCTTCTGAACTCAATAATTTGCCGACCCCCAAGTTAACCTAAGCCAACTTAACTTCCACCAGAAGGTCCAAGGTCATGTTAACTAACCTACAAAACAGAACGATTCCAGGTCACTAATTAAAACAAAGCACTTAAGGAACCAATGCACAAGGGCTATAGATGGTTTAATCAGGAACAAGACATTGGAAATATCTTCTCCTCTATTTAACATTCATGTAGTTTAAACTCTAACTTTAATTCTCTATAAGTGCCACACCACTACAGGGCTGTTTAATCAGCAGATAACAGGAACTGTCCAACAATTTTCCAGCCCAATAGATTGACATCACAGCAGCTGCTATCAGTCTGTTAGCATCATGCTTTGGCTATATACATGGTCAAATCTTTGTAAAATTGCACTGGAATTGCCCAATAATCCTTGTCTGTATAGGAGGGCCTCTACGGTTTGACCTTTCTATATCATAAGCTGGTTACTATGGTGCAAGGACACAGCTGAATACTGTGGCTTTACTTGCACCCATAGGTACATTTTCAGGACAAGCTTTTTGGGGGGTCTAAGGGCTTAACCTTAAAATGTAACTGTTAGTGCAAATATTACAGTATCATGGGCAGTACTCATCTGCGTTGTAGCAAGAACACTCATACAGCAACAACAATCTCCTTACATATGTAGCAAGGAATATATATCATGTTAGACCTTGAAAGGCTAATAAAAAATGTTTTAAGTAAAAGTCATAATTTGCACTCATGTAGTCCCAGCTGCTCATTTCAAAAATCAAGCGCACTCCTTGTTACTGTATATTGCACAGGACTAGCAACATTCCATTAAAACTTGAACAACTTTATTTCTAAAAGAAAAAAACAGATTCAAATAACAAAAAAGGAGACTGCTGAAACTTTGTTTTCTGGCAGAGTTTTCCTTTTTTTGGCATTCAATTTGATACAGAAAGGAAAAATAATGTATATCAGTGCTTTTACATTTACACAAATTAGATAGAATTGTTTAAAAGTTCAAAAGAAAGAAAATCCTTGTGCAATTTTTCAGCTGACATACTGAAGACAAAAAAAAGCCTATGTGCTATTTTGTGGTCTCTGCAAGGCTACAGAAAGTTTGTCCTTCAATTTCCAAACTCCAAGGCAGCAGCATTTCAAGGTCATGCAAACTGAAGGAGGCCTATCTCCAATAATAGGATGCTAAATACCAACACTGCAGCTAGAAAAAAAAAATCCCCCAGAAATCAGAAAGGCCATCGGTAAAGACAAACTTGCCATAGTGACTGGAATATTGTGCTCTTGCCTGCAGAGTTCCTGGTGTCTGGCTTGGAATGTGTTGCTGCACATCAAACATTCCAATGACCTTCATGCCCTATTTGAAAATCCAAACTAGCATAAAGTAAAAAGACTCTTATAAACTAGCAAACATGCAAGTGCAGCTACTGGCTGGACTATCTAGCAAAAAAAAATGTGCACTAGCAAAAGGCATTATTGCGCGCCCAGGAGAGACAGACAGGCTTACCTGCAAAGCACAAGGGCAAGGGAAAAAAGAAAAACCTCCCCAAATGAATCAGTAATGTCATGTTCCATTGACTTTACAGACCATTAACCCCCAAATCATAAGCATTTTCCATAAAGTGTCTTTTACTGGAATTATGTGCCACTTGCATTCTAAGCTAACAGCTGTTCTGTATATCAGCATTTACTTACGACATGATGCCTATGAATTTTTCCAGGAAAGCCCGCCCAGCTCCTAAACATAAAACATGCTCATTTCACACGAAAGGGAACATTTTGTCAAAGTATTTTTTGCCCAATTAGGTGTATGGTGCCTTCACACCAAATAATAAATCAAATCCCCAAATCTACAGCATGTAGCAATGTGTACTCGGAGAGTGTGCGTGTGTGTGTGTATACACATACACACACGTGAACACAAACACTTGCATTCCACATGACCTTACCCAAATAAAATAGAGATTAATAATTTTTAAGACAGCTTCCTCTTGCAAATGATGAAGTGAACTTTGTGCAGGTTTCTTATCTCTGCACATCAACGCAAGTGTAAAAGAGGAAAAAAGAAAATCCACAATCTAAATGTACAAGAGGTGCAGCAGAAGGTATGCCAGGAATGCAAGGGGCCATTTTCTTAGACAGTACAAACTTGGATTTCTCAGAGTGAAGGAAGAAAAAAAAAAAGGCAGCGTGCATTATTGACTTTTATACACAAATATACAAAAACAGAACTTACCAGTGCCACTGCAAAATGTCAGAAAATTCTCAAGCACAGCTCAAGCACTTCTATTTTTCCCCTTCAGCTTCACTCTCACTAGCCCTCCTCCCCCCCCCCCCTCTCGGGGAAAAAAAAAAAAGAGGACAAAGGCATGAGGACATGCAAGGAAGGTACTGTGCAATGTTCTTTTTTCAAAGCCAACAGACAGAATGTGCTCTCCTGGCAAACTCCTCGCCATTTTTCTTTGTCTTTCAGCTGACCCCTGTCTATGTGAAAAACTCCCAAGTCTCCAATGAAAAATCCTGCAGCCTCCTTCCACTTTAACAGTCAAAGGCATTCAATCTAGCTTGCTACATGACACCAACACCCGCCTTTCCTCTTGCCCTATTTGCTGCTGCTTGTTATTTGAGGACACTGCTCGGCTACCATTGGCAGATGAGATCATCAATCAGCAGCACTGGAACACTTCCTGTTTAAAGTTACCTTGAGACAAACAGGGGTCAGACCAAGTGACTTTAAAGAACGGAGTGCATTCATTAAAATGTATTCCCAGCGAAGACCCGTAGCATTACACGGCAAATGCATTTCGAGGTATTCACAGGACCTTTTAATTAAAATGTGTGCAAATCAAAGGGCACGTTTCAGTTAAAGTACCGGAAGATTATGTGTGCAGGTTTACAAATTAAACAAGTGTGTTTGCAATGATTAGACTACATATGTAACACAGCAGGGGACACTTCTACAAGACATGCCAAAGAAGGGGACAGAAGCTGCATCCTTAGGTTTTGTGAATACAAGTATTATGTACGATTTTTTAAAAATACTTTTCAGTACCCAAGCTCTTTTTTAGCAGTGTTCAGGCACACAGCTAGCAGCCTTGACTTTCACACTATATCAAGGAGAATTAGAACCAAAGCCAGTACATTCTGCAGCTTTATTTACCAATGTAAAACCAGCATGTTATGGATTTTACAACTCACTTTACAGGAGTTGAAGACATTATTTAAAAAGTTCCTATTGTTCTGAACTGGAAAAAACCAACATGTCCTGCAGAGCCACACAAAGGCAGAACATATACAGTGGTACCTCAGTTCACAAACTTAATTTGTTCCACGATTCTGGTCGCGAACCAAATTAAAATTTCCCCATAAGGTTCAATGTAAATAAGGTTAATCCGTTCTGAACCATATGTACATTTTTCTTTTCACCTTTATTCCTGGCACTGCGCTTTTTTACCACCATGCTTACTCAGCACTACCTGGTCACCTTCATTACCACTCTGCACATTCTTTGGAGCCATGCTGGATTGAATAATACTGTACTGTAAGCCCTTGTTCACACCTGAATGTTTTGTACCGCGTTCTACGCTCGACGAACGCTCTACAAAAACGCTCAAAAATATAAATCCCATTGTATTCAATGGTCTCGTTCCCACCTTGGCGTATTTCCGCCCGTCCCGCTACAAAACGCCCCACGCCTGAAAAAGGCACATGTACTACTTTGAGCCGTTTTGTTGCGCATTTCCATTGGGATACAGCCAAGTAGCCTTCGGAAACGCGCGGCGGTCGCGCAACTTTTTTTACGGCGCGACGGTCGCGCATATGCAATATGCCTAGGTGTGAACGAGACCGAAGTGCTAAAAAGCACACAAAAAGAGCTTCACAGCAAGTGTGCACAGGTCTTCTGCGACCGTGATCTCGACTAGAGGAAGCCACGACCACGCGTCAGAGCGGGGAAGATGGCCGCGGTCATGTTCGTCACCCGATGCAGAGTTTGCAAACGGAAGCAACATTTTTGCCAAACTTCCTGTTCGTGAACAGAAGCGTTCGTGAACCGAGGTATTTCTGTACATCGATTACATGTACAGAATCTTTGCAGAAATCAGAAAACCTTGCTTAAAAATAAAATAAATAAAATCTTTAAAAATCTAAACTGAGAAAAGGAGTTACAAAATTGAAGTCAGACTTGACAGCAGTAGCTGCAAGGTAGTAGAATTGAGGTTATGGCATTCTGGATCATCACTAAAACTATCAGGGCTATTCACAAAGGGGGAAAGAGTTTGGAGAAGACAGGAAACAGGAACAATCTAGGACAACATAGCTGAACTGGAAAGTGAGCTGAATTGGAGAAGTTTTCCAGTTCAGCTATGTTGTCCTAGATTGTTCCCGTTTCCTGTCTTCTCCAAACTCTTCCCCCCTTTGTGAATAGCCCTGTAATTGAAAATCACTTACTTTAACAATTCACCATTTCGTTTATACCTCTGAAGAAGGGATGTACCGATATATCGGCTGAAAATTGCACTTCTGGCATAAGGCCGAAAGCGACATTTTCCTGCCGATACATCGGCGCATCCGTGATTTCTTTCCTCCCCGCTGGGCGCTGCTCTGTGTCCCAGCCGGGAGGAGAGAAACTGTGATAGCCGGCCGAGCGCTGTGTGAGGAGAACGCAGTGATCGGCCGGCGTCTCCTCCCACACCGCTCAGCCGCCTATCACAGGCCGGCAGAGCGGTGTGGGGGCGTAGACAGCGCTGTCACAGGAGGCTGAGCTCTCCTCCCTACACCGCTCGATCAGCCTCCTGTGACAGCGTGTCAGAGAGAAGAGCGGGTACAAACACTCAGTGATCGCTGAGTGTTTGTAGATCATTGAGGACATGGTATGGTTACTAGATCCTCAATTATGAATGAATGGGAAGTGATCCACACACCTCCTGTTCATTTATGATTGTGGTTATAGGAAACATACTCTGTCCTCATGTTATCAATGAACAGGAACGCTCAGTATAGAGGATTCCTGTTCATTGATAATAGGGCACACAGAAAAAGAGATTGAGGACTTTGTTTTCAATCTCTTTTTCTATTTTAAAAAGGGAAATATCAGGGGTCTGTTTAGACCCCCAATATTTCCCCTAAAAGTAATGTAAAAAATAAAAATATTTAGGAAAAAAAAATGAATAAAAATATAAAACAAATTTAAAAAAAAAAAGTTTATCAAAAAGTTTAAAAAAATTTAAATAAAAAACAAACATTTTCGGTATCGGTTTCGGCCTGACAATTTTTTTATTTCGGTTTTAAAATTTCCATTTGGGTGCACCCTCTACTGAAGGGCACAAGAATGCAACCAGGAAAATTGGTGTTTTTTGCCCAGCCACCCTCTACCTAGTGGTCAATAAGGCCACCTATCAAAGAGATGCGCACACAGGAAGGTAAGGAGAGGACACACTTGGACTTCCAACTATAGCAGGAGTAGGCAACTCCGGCCCTCCAGCTGTGCTTTAACTACAAATCTCAACATGTCTTTGGGAGTCGTGCCTGAAACGGTCATTCTTGCAATGCCTCATGGGACTGGTAGTTCCACAACAGCTGGAGGGCCAGAGTTGCCCACCCCTGAACTAGAATCTGGTATTAGCATGTTTCCCCCGGAGATTCCTGCTACCACAAATAGAAGTTGTTCCTAAATTACATTTCAGTCCAGATGTTCTTTAATGTACTTATGTGCTTTGCTCATGCAGGTCACAGCATGTTTATGTTCATGTCTTGTCAGCTTGGTATTCAGAACATGCCCATCTGGGAATCAGAGGATGGAAGTAGAGACTTTTGCAGCATACTCTGAGCACACACTATAAAATGAATGCAGCAGATGCAGAGAAGGAGCATTCAGCAGTAAGCATTGCTCCTCTATAGTAACTCTGTCTGCAAGGCATATCAAGTTGGCGTTTTGAAGAAAAAAAGTTGTAGTAAAATGTAAGATCTACAAAGTCAAATTTAGATATCTTTTCATGAAAATTTGATCAGTTAGGATCAAGGTCAATAAAACATTTGTGCAATGTAAAGTTTGCAAAGGTACAAGTTATCATCACATATGCAGGTTATACATATCGTGAAAACCTCAAATGAATGGTCAGAGGGCTGGGAACTGGAAAGCAAAGTTAACATGCGTTTTCATTGTGCATTGCATGATTTTGTTTTTTGACGTGTTAATACAGGTTTTCATGCTTTTTTTGGATTGGCCAGCGTCCTGCACTGACATCACTGTTGTGGACTTTGGGAAGGATGTACTTGGATTTCTGTGTCGTGTGTTGTGGAACCTGACCACAATGTCTGCATTTACACCTTTTTGCATCGTAGTGGTACAGGAAACTGGCGCAAGTGGAGTGTTCCATATTAACTAGGCGGAGAAACCTCTTCCAGGTCAATCTGCGCCAATCTGAGAGTGAAATAGAAACCAAAGCAGCTTCCATGTCTAATTAACAAAGGTATTGCAGCACTTTTCTATATTGATCCCCGCCAGAACTATTTGCCAGTAACCTGGCACGCCATTCACATGCCTCTCTCTGTCTGTGCAGTGAATACATTACAGAGACATTACATAGACAGAGCCTGCATATACTCTGGGAGGCTACAGTTTTTCCGCTCTATGTTTGTATCTGGCGCAGACAATGCTCATCACTCCTAATTAGTGGTGTGGTACATTATGCACCCCATTTAAAATAAAAAGGGCTGCAACACGTCTCAACATGTGGGAATCTTGTTCACACTGCACGTAGGGTTGTGATACCTTTCAAAATGAACAACACTGCAACATGCATTATCTCACAATACCCCAACGGCCTGCTGCGAACAGGTGCTAAAATCGCAAGCTGCATGGCGGTTATGCCGATCTAATGGCTTCAATGCTTTGGGTGCATGAACTGGAACAACCAAGCAAATCGGGTAAGGCAAAATCATATAACTGCATTATTGTTCTGGGACAATGACCAAAAGTAGTGATACAAGAGCATCAGTACAAAACCTATACAGCTATCATTCTTAGAAGGAGAGCAACACACAACTTGACCCAACAGGACTTACTGTATGACCCATAATACACTTGTTCAGGGGTAGGCAACCTCGGCAATTCAGCTGTGGTGTAACCACAAACCCCCATCATGCCCCTGCGAGTCATGTCAGTGGTCATCTGTCTTGCAATGCCTTATGGCACCACAACAACTAGAGTGGAGAAGTTGCCTACCCTTGCCCTAGTTCTTAACAAAGACAGGGTGACTATACAGGGGTTAAACTGGGAAGGATGTGTCGTTGCCGCGCTGGGTGGATGAGCGAGATGTCACTCGCTCACTGGTGACTTATATTTTACAAGGTTTCTGTCAGTGAGGCAGAGACGCATGGAAGTAGGCAATATTTTCAGGATCACCTGTGTGATATGGCTCTAACACAGCCGAATTTAAAATGCAGACCGCTCACCTCGAAAGGTTAATGTGTTACCCATTTACGCCTAAAAGTTTAACACCATTTTTCAGAATCACTAATGCCCATCCAGCATACAA